TGCTTGCCTTTTCCACACCAAGTCGATCGCACGAAGGTGAAGATTCTAACAAATGGAGGAAAGCTATCATAAAATTAATTTATATTAAATTTACGTGCTTTAAATGTTACACGCACTCATATATGATTCAATAAATTAATTTCAAATTTAAGTCTCGCGTTTTCTTTTAATCGGCAGATATACCTACACGATAGGCTTTGGATTCATTTCAAGGAAAATTTCTCGTGTAAACTCCAGTGGAGAACTTGATTGACGTCGATATTTATTTCGTTACAATTTGCTGCCTATTATTACTCTTACCGAAATTCATGTTGACACCAACATTTAGAATCATATAATACATAACATGTATAGTTTCAGACCCGTCCTACACACATGCATCTTGCCAGCTTGAATAAAATATCTAAGGCAAAAGAATACTACAAGTGCCATAACTTGTGTACGACGCTCACTTTGGTGCCATAAGTTTTTTTTGGATCACTTTAGTGTTAAAATTTTTGAAAAACGATCACTTAAGTGCCAACTCCGGTGCCGTACATAATTTTTCGCCAGAAATCCGACGTGGCATTTTTTTTATTAATTTCTGAAGCTGACGTGGCTCGCCGGAGATTGGCACTTAAGTGATCGTTTTTCAAAAATTTTAGCACTTAAATGATCGTTTTTAAAAAATTTTAGCACTTAAGTGATCGTTTTTCAAAAATTTTAGCATTGAAGTGATCCAAAAAAAACTTATAACACTTAAGTGATCGTTTTTCCTCCGACTTGGCACCAAAGTGATCCGAAAAAAAGTTATGGCACCAAAGTGATCTCCGTACACAAGTTATGGCACTTATAGTGTCCTTTTGCCAAATATCTAATATATATTAGGGTTCAATTCCACAAATAGTCAAATGTTAATACCATATTTGAGAAATATCTTTGCACCCGCAATAAAAATAGATAGAAAAGAACAGCACCAATGAATTTCAAATGCAACAGATAACTACAAGGGAGGAAAAGTAGTCTGATACGCATTCCAAGTGTCATCACACTTCGTTTTGCCTAAGAAGCACATAGAAAAGACTTTAGTAAGAGCGCAATGCATCGACCTCTTTGAATTCATCTCGCCTCTTTTTATTCACAACAGGTATGAATCAAAGGGTACTAATTAACCCCTCAAATTCCGATTATAAAAAAGAATTGATGAACCCCGAAATTCCTACTTAGGCGAGCCGCTTGGAGTTAAGCTCGCCTCTCATCTTATGCACGAGATTTTTGAGATATTTCATAGATTAAACATATCTATCTAAGTAAATTTTCTCGTCCTTAAAAAAAAAAAAAAAAGAATCCCTCGTATAAACCATTCTCAACTCATATGGCACTTTTCATTTATTAACATGCTCTGTTGCTCATTCTATATATAAAAAAAAAACTCACATATGCATCATGCACATTGAGAATCTACTGGTCCAGGTCAAGGCCCAGGCTGGGTGGCCCTCTTGCCACCGCTAGTCAACTCTCTCTCTCTCTCTCTCTCTCTCTCTCTCCCTCACATGGTGCAACTTAGGCTCCATGATTTTTCCTTGTCTGCCGCAGGATTGCAAAGAGACTCATTTGAGCCACAGATAGTTCTGAAGATAAATTTACATTTTACAGGGACTTCCAAGTTTTACTTTGCAACAGGACCCTTTTAAGGATACTTTATATTACGGGGAGGATGGGGTCGATTCGATTTCGGGTGATATCGATATAGGTTATCTTTGGATTCGAGACAATTGCTTGGTAATCAAAGACTCGTGTCGAGGTCAGTGGCATGAACTTCTTTTACCAAGTGGGGTTTTAAAGTTCTTGCCTCCTTTCTCCGGTCCTAGACAACCAATACAAGGTAGAGGGCTGAATTAGATTTAATGCTTTTTCGAAGGACACAAGTATCCCTTTGATATATAGATCCACTCAACTAAAGAAGCAATTTGTCACCGATGCTTAACCGACCTTAGCCATAATTATCATTATTCTTTGACCACGTTACCTACTTCTTGACGGTATGGGTCAAAACACCTAATGCGGGTATTGACCAATCTTGGGAAAATTACCAAAAAAGTCCTAAACTTTTTGCAATTGTGCCAATTCAGTCCTAAACCTTTTGCAATTGTGCCAATTCAGTCCATCCGGCCACTTTTGGCCTGCTAGCACTAACGTGGACACTGGCCGGCTGATGTGGCAATATTTTAATAAATTTTTATTTAATTTTTCGAATTTTTTTTTCTTTTTTTCTTTTCCCTATCTTCTTCCTCGATCACCGGTCCGGCAACCGGTGACCGGCGAGAGGCTAAGGCCGGTGAGTTCCACCTCACCGACACTAGCGAGGGCAAGCCTCGCCGTCGCCGGGCGAGGTCAAGCTCGCCCAGCGATGGCGAGGTCGACCTTGCTTGGCGACGGCAAGGCCGCCCAGATCTGGCCAGATCTTGCCCATGGCCGGCGAGGTCGAGCCTCGCCATGGCCGGGCGAGGCCTCGCCCAGATCTGGCTAGACCTCGCCGTCGCTGGGCAAACTCGGCCTCGCCTAGCGACGGCGACGCCGCCCAGATTTGGCGAGACCTCGCCGTCGCCGGGCGAGTTCGACCTCGCCTGGCCATGGTGAGGCTCGACCTCGCCCGACGACGGCGAGGTCTCGCCAGATTTGGGCGGCCTCGCCGTCACCGGGCGAGGCCGACCTCACCATGATCAGGCGAGGCCTCACCCAGATCTTTGTACCGTTTTGGATTATAAGCTATTCTAAGGGGAGGGGGAACTCCGACATGGGACAAGAATTTCAAATATGGGTGTCCCCTTTACTATCAACTTTTGTGATCATGCACTGTTATCAATTATTCCACACCTCCCAAAAAGAGAAAGGGGAAAAAAGGAGGAAAAGACAAGGACACAACCTCAAGCTCTAAATGGCTAATGTCATTGTGATTTATGTATATACACATACGGAGAATATATGACAATCACTATTCACCATTATTTCATTACCAATTCCAAAAGGGTTGATCGTCCATCCTTTTGAGCTTCGACACTAGTGTGTGCCCCCGTGAATAATGGTCCTACCTACCCCAAACATTATCATCCCACTTTAGTGGGTGATTGACTAATGGTATGACTCACCTTTATTTATCTCAAAAGAAAGATCTTTCCTAACTAGCCCCAACAACTTTTATACTGGAGTCACCAAGCTTCTCATTGATATAAGAAATAAGCTTCAATTTGGCAAAAGATAAAGCCTAGCCATGTACAGCATTAGGAGCATTTCCCAGCCCGACGGCAAAAAAAGAAAGGAGAGAAAGAAAAAGAAAAACAAAAAGGGCCAATAATATGAATTTATAGATTTAATTAAAAGATCTTGTATCACCATTTGTAATTTCTAACTTTATTCCATTATTTTAAATTTAAATTGGAAATGTTGATACTAAATGAATTGGTCAACTTCTCCAAATCCACAAATCTCAACGATTGGCGTTTTTAAGACCGGAAACATATATAAAATTTGCACCACCCTTTGGCCTTGTGAATAATTACTATTCGATAAATAGAGGGTCGATGGAGCAACAATTATAAACACACAACGTTGCATTTTCTTTGTTAGCTGTCCGAAGAGAAACACAGACCTATATTCTTGACTGTATTCCACTTTCTTTTCTTTTTTTTTTTGGTAAACATAAGGTACAAAACTAAGTAAATTAAAGTCTAAAGTCTACAACCCCAACTTTATCACTAAGCAAAACATGAGATAATTCTCTAGAAGGCTACAAGTAGAATTTAGTATCCAATCGCTTCACTAGGCCACATCAGCGGGCCGATTGCCTTTCCAAAAAATATGATGTATTTTGAACTTAAAATGAGAGCCCAATAGTTTTCTGATATCTTCAAGTAGCGTTGGTCCAGTTTTATCTGCTATACTCTATTGGGGTTAACAAGTTTGGTGATAATTTTAGAGTCTATCTTAATGACGAGTTTATGAAAATTATGTTGCTTTGCGATGGTAAGTCCCAACCATAGTGCCCATAGTTCTGCTTGTAAAGAAGAACTTATTCCGATAAAATGAGGTTAAATCGCCAAGTCAGTCACCCCATTCATTTCGGAATAATCTTCTGGCTCCTGCAAGTCCAAGATTACCTTTAGACCCTCCATCCGTATTCAATTTAATCTATTCTGAACGTGGAGGATCCTAAGCAAACAATAATGGGAGAAGTACACGATCCGCTTTTAGACAAACTGATCATGGGCGAAGCTATGATTTCCTTCCGTTTGGTGATTCGATTGGATTAAAAAAACAAAACTTAAACTTTCTCGAAAAAGCAACTTATTTTGCCGTTGCCAAAAAAGCCATACACTCACGCAAAAAATTAGAAAGAAATCCCACTATGATTTCTTTCCTCTTTTTTTCAATTTTGGGAAATAAAATCGGTAATAACTTTCTATTTTTCCATTTTCTCCTTTTTTTTTTTTGGAGGGTTCCAAAAAGGGAAAGCCCGGTCACCGCGGAGGAAAAAAGTCAACTTTTCTCACAGGATCCCGTGAATGGCGCCGCCCTTCCCTTTCCTTTCCCCCTCACCACCTTTCCAAACGCGGAACGAGCCCGGCTCACCTGCACGCGACCGCCACCCGAAGAATCTCTTCCGGCCACTAGGATCCCGACACGTCACCCTCGCTGGGATGATCGCCCGCCGAGGCGACACGTGGCTGCGGGACGAGGCGTGTAACAGGTGCGATCGCCCGCAGGGGATCCGGGACACACCCCCGGGCCGTATCGGTCGTCGCCGTCGATACCGAACAAACCGGATCACGCCTCCTCCTTGATCTTTCCGAACCGGGGCCCACATCCCATAGACTAATGTAATAATAATTGATAAATATAAAAAAGAATAAGTAATTAATAAATACAACAGGAAAAATCAGACCACAGCATGCAATAGGAAATTAAATAAATAATTTTTCTTTTTCGGTGAGACATAAATAATAATAAATTAATAATCTCGTCCTTCTCTTTCTTTCTTCACCTTCGTGTGTCCCTTCGGTTGTCTCGCGCGAACTGTTGCATTCCTCCTCCTCCTCCTCCTCCTTCCTCTGCATGCATGTGAGCGGCGACGACGGCGGCGGCGGAGGCGGCGGAGATCGAGCATGGACACCGGGAAACCCGCCTCCGGGCTCGGATCCGCGGCGGCCCACCTGACCCGACCCGCGTGGACGCCGCCCCTCCTCCTCCTGCTGTCTTTCCTCGCCGTCCTCGCCTTCCAGATCGCCACCAGGCCGGTCCCGGCGGTCGTTCCGCCGCCGCCCCCCTGCCCCGCCGCCGCCGGTGGTGCGCCCGCCTGGCCCGGGAGCTGCGCGGGGTTCTTCCGCGGGTCCCCGCAGGCGAGGAAGGTGGTGATGTCGCTGCGGGACTTCGGAGGGGTCGGCGACGGCGGGAGGCCGGAGACCGAGACGTTCCGGAGGGCGGTGCGCCACATGCGACTGTTCGGAGGCGCGGGCGGGTCGCAGCTGAACGTGCCCAAGGGGACGTGGGTCACGGGGAGCTTCAACCTCACCAGCAATTTCACCCTCTTTCTCGAAGAGGGTGCTCTGATCCTGGGCTCTCAGGTTGGTCAAACTTTTCTCTCTGTCTCCCCTTTTTCTTTTATCTTGGTTTCTTGAATAGGATCGTGTCCATCGTCGGAACTTTCGTCTCGACTAATCCGCAAGAGACACGTGAACCGACATGACATTCACCTCGGAGATGGAATGGCTAGCATCGAAACGAAACAGTCGTTGCAGCTGCTGTCGTTGTGGCGATTCTACTGATTGATGGTTTTGGAGGAACAATGATGGTGCATGATGACTGGCCATAACCAAGTCCCATCTTTTTCCTTTTTTCCTTTTTCCGTTCTTTGGCAAGCCACGTTTGTTCTCTACTTTCTGCTTAATTTAGAGAACCGACTTGATGATTCTTCGTTATGGTAATCCATCACCTTGTCCGAACAACGGATACAGTCTGGCACCAGATGAATTCTGAAGAGAAGGCCAGTTTCATGCTTTATTCAAGTTTAAACTTGAGATTAAGAAATAAAGTAAGAAATAAAGAATAATAGATGTTTAAAGCAGTTTGCTCATCTGTCATTCCGCCCGTTCCATAGCTTCTTCGTTTTTTTTTTTTTTTTACTTTCGGGCACAGAGACTGTAAGAAGATGGTGTGTGTCTCTGCTACTGCAGAGCAAAGGGTCCCACTGCTCACAAAATTTCTTTTATCTTTTTTTCATGTTTTTATTCATTTACGAAGGTAACTTATTTCATGTCAGTTTTTCATATTATAAACTCCATAAGATTCTTGCTAATCAGTGTGATTACGTGTGGGCAGAGTCATAGGTGGTGAATGAATGTGTCGTGCGGGTTTGAAAAGCCGATCTTTGTGTCTGTTCTTTTGACATTTTGTCACCTGCGCGTTTGTCTTTTGTTTGATTCTTTTTCTAAGAAGTGGTTTCTTTTTAATTAACTTTATCCAGAGTTACCATCAAGACTACAGCATCTACGGAATATAACTAATGGATGAAATTAGAAGTCACATCCTTTCCTCTGGTTTGGCTCTTTGTTTGCTTTGTTTCCGTGTAAATAAGCAGTGTTTATACATTTTTGTTTCAAATTTGAGTAGTTAAATTGGACAGAAACTTCTGCGAACTCCCTGTATTTTGGTAGTTTCAGTGAAATTAGTTCCTGAACGTTTGTAAACTCGTCCATACCCCGTTCCAACACACTTCAAATGGACTTTCGGCTGAATTTTTCCTATATGGCATTAATTACCGTCTATCACTATCGACCACTCGTAGACTAAAGCAATCGGGGGGTTTTACTAAAAGAATTGGGGGTTTGTGGACAATTTTCCCATTTACTTATGCGGCCTTATTCTAATAGACCGAGGCAATTGCAAATCGAGAATAGCAAGAGAAAGCAAATCATATGTAATGAATTAGATATAGATTTCTTATGTTAGACAAATCGAGAGTAGGAAGACAACGCAAATCCCATGTTGAAGGATAGATATGGAGTCCACATGTTTGCTTTTTCTTTGGTAGAAATATGTTGGAGATTGTCATTGCCCGAAATGCTTGCAATTGCAAAATCTTGATACATCTACATATTTTGCAAGGATAGGACCCAAACGATTGGCCCATCATTGAGCCTTTACCATCTTATGGAAGAGGAAGAGAGAGATTAGGAGGGAGGCACATAAGCCTTATCCATGGGAATGGCCTCACTGATGTTGTCATCACAGGTACCGATTGATTCTGCCATTCAGGAATGTTGCCCATTTTCTAAAGATATGCTCATGCAAATTGAATAGGCTTGGTTGAAGTATACCCTTCTTGGATGCCAATGAAGAAGTAAAGGAATTTCACATTAGTTTGACGTTAATATACAGCTTTGTCTTCCTCTAATAGCTTGTTTCTTTCTAAAATTTGTTGTCTTCTATTATTCATGTCTTCTTGCTTGTAGCTGTAGCTTACCCCCGGCGGAATCCTAGGGTATGCATTTGTTAGTCGAAGAAATATCACTGCTTTTGCTTTGCCCGTGAAGGTTTCGAAGTTTGATTTTTTCTAGGAATTATTGGTCCAAAATGGTTTTGTAGGGAAGGGTGACTTCCAACCCAGTTAAAAAAGTGAGTCTCTTTGTTTTGTTAGGTAGGCCACCTAGATGTGTTCGTCTAAGATTGTTTCTGTGGTCCTGAAATAATTGCATCTACTTGATGATAAATTGAGTTCATTTGACATTTAGTAGGACTGACAAGTTGACCACTCAAAGCCAAAGTAGGTAATTATATTGATGCTGCATAAGTCTGAGCCATTAATAGAGGATTTTGTCAATCTTTTGAGTATAGCCATGTAGGCAAAGAGCGCATGTATGAAGTATTGATGTAACTTATGTTCCAGATGCAACATAAATTTAAGATGATAAGACCAAACTGTTGAACAGGAAACAATGGGACAATAGATGGTCAGGGGAGGATGTGGTGGGAACTATGGTGGAACAGAACATTGGAGCACACACGAGGCCATTTGGTCGAACTCGTGAACTCACACAACGTTCTCATCTCCAATCTTACCTTCAGAAATTCACCCTTTTGGACGATTCATCCCGTTTACTGCAGGTTTGGCAATTGTTCTCTTATGCTTGTTCGTGGGTTCTGCATTAATCTCATGAAAAGTAGTTCTATGGTGAAAGCGAGTGGATGCTTTAAATGTTTTCAACACAAGTTCTGCACAAACATTCACGTCTAACCACGTTTTAAGTGAGTGTTTGCCAAATATTTCGGAAGGAATTGTACCTAATTGAAAGAACACTGGTCCCACGCCTTTTTTGGCCAATTATTTCGTTGCCTAATTACAGAATACTATGTTTTTTGTGTGTGTGTGTGTGGTACAGTAACGTAGTTATAAAAGACATGACGATCTTGGCTCCCCTCAATGCCCCAAATACAGATGGTATTGATCCAGGTATGTGACTGGTTCCCTCCGCATTTCTCTTTCCCCTTGGAGTGTCGAAGTTTCTTCTCTTACTTAGCACAATACGAGGGAATTTTAACACCAAAATGGATAGACGATATTAAATAGATTAATTCACATTTCTGTTTTATGGAAGGAACGGAAGTCTCAAGAAAGGAGTGAAAATTTATCTTGACATGTTTCAGTCTCTCTGTAACTGGAGATTGTAGAGGGATAAGTGGTAGATTAAAAGAATCACCCTTTATTCAATCTGAGAATCCCAAGTGGCAGAAAATGAATTGATTTTATTCATAAGACAAAAATGTCCGTGTCTTGATTCACAAGGTCAACCTTTCTTTTCCGCCAAAGAACCTGTATGAGTGGAGTATACACTTACACCCCTTAGGTTTATTAATGTCTTCCTGACCTTTCAAATATCCAGACTCGTGCAGCAAAGTGTGCATCGAAGACTGTTACATTGAGAGCGGGGACGATCTTGTAGCGGTAAAGAGTGGATGGGACCAATATGGAATTGCAACAGCGCATCCTAGTTCGGATATTATTGTTAGGAGAGTATCAGGAACCACTCCCACTTGCTCTGGGGTTGGGATTGGTAGTGAGATGTCGGGAGGGATTTTAAACGTAACTATAGAAGATCTGCATGTCTGGGACTCTGCCGCCGGAATCCGTATCAAGACAGATATTGGTCGAGGAGGCTATATAGCTAATATCAGTATAAGTAATGTGATGATGGAACGGGTCAAAATTCCCATAAGATTTAGCAGAGGTTCTAATGATCACCCAGACAAGGGATGGGACCCGAAAGCCATTCCTAGAGTGAAGGGTGTATTCATAAGCAATGTGGTGAGCGTGAATTCTACAAAAGGCCCCGTCTTAGACGGTATGAAGGTTTCACCATTCGAAGAGATATGCATGAGAAATATCAGCTTGATTGGATTACCTCCGTCTGCGAATTGGCACTGTGAATTTCTTTCGGGTTTCGCTGATGACGTCTCTCTAGTGCCGTGTCCTGAGTTGCAGGACAATAGTTCGACATTCTCCTGTCCTTAGAAACTGGAGGATTTGCGTTTGTACAGCAATATGAAAATGATATTCTCGATACTATTGCAGCGATGAAAGACATTTCCGGAGAAAAGGACTCGAAATATGAGAGTCTTCTGATTCTGTTTACGTGACAGAAAGGCCGAGATGTCGAGATTTCTGTTACATGAATTCGAGGAGGCATTCTGGGCTCAGCAAGAGCCCCCACTATAGGAGAGAACGGCAGACTCTCGTAAGTTACATTGGCGTGAGGAAGAGATGCTTTTGGCGTGATCGACAGTTACTGGATTTACACATTAAAACAACATTCATTGATTCAAATGATTTTTCTGCATTCTTTGATATTGTGGATATACACAGCAAGAGGAGAGATCAGGTTGTACAGAAGAGGATGGAGACTGTAACGTGGCCTCACGTGAAAGTTGATACTGGTTATTCAGAAGTAACATTGAGCTGCTGTATTTTTTACTTGATTTGTGTGTCATAGAGTTTCATGTGGGATTTGAATCACATCGTCAATCCTGTTGAGTGTCAAACTTGCTTATATAGGGAATTATACAAGTCCGTCCATAGTTAATTTAAATTACAACGATAGTTAATTTTTCTTCATTTCCTTGAGTAGGATCTTCCCCCATGATGCCTTTTGTTATCACTCTGTTTGGTGGTTGCCACTTGCCACTAACAATTTGGTGTTTATTAACACAAAGGCCACTCAGACATGAACTACCAAAATTCAAATATTGATATGACCTTACACATACTAAAATCACGTAGATTGAAATATCGATATGACCTTAACAAGATATGTGCTCAAGCGAAATGAAACTGGAGTTCGCTTGTCTTAATGTTAATCTTTCTCCAACGATTTAAGGGTAAACATGTTACGAGGTAACATACTCCGGCAGAGATTTTCAGAAGCTGATTTCTGGAATCCAAATTTTTCGTTCCATTGGCTATCGAAATATTTTTTAATCGACCATTTTTTCTAACCTATAAAAATCAAGTTTTGGGTCGTCTGGTTAGAATCTGCTGTGATCCAGAAGAGGGTTATTGAACGATTAAAGAAAGAAAGCGATGTCACATGTATTTACTCGACTAAACATAGGTTCCTTTGCCTGTAGGATGAGACAAATAGACCGTGGTGAATGAAACCTTAGTAGAAAATGTGAACTAAGGACAGATGAACAAAAGAAGAGAAACAAATTTGGCTTAAGTTGTATCAAGTAGAGATCAGATACATGTTGAGTTGCACAGTTGCTTTTACAAGGCTAGGAGAACATCGCGGTTTTTCACCATTTCCAGAAGACATTTGAGCCACACTTGAACTTGTCCTTCCCTTCGCATTCCAACTCCAAATCATCAGAGATGAAGGGCACTTTCTGCAGCACACATGGCAAAGAATAGCATGATCAACAAGAGAAAGTCCTCATAGGGACAAAATTGTTCTGTAACTTTTAATTTAGCGACGACCATCATTGAGTTCGTCATTAACGCTTCGCTTGGAGATAGCGTCAGTTGTATTCAGACAACAGGAGATATGAACAAATATTTCAATCACGTCAAACCGCTAGGAAAAGTTAAAAAGGTAAATGAGAGATGAATTGAACCTTTTGCTTGGCAAGATCCTGGCAACCAGTGAAGTTCTCGGGGAACTTGCAGGAGCCGAACTCGACCGTGTACGCTCTCGCAAAGTTCGCTCCGCTCGTGGCCAATCTCTTCTTGTCATTCAGTTCCTACAATCAGATGATTGATCATCAGCTAAAATGAACTCAGATCAAGTTAGAACCTATCCACCAAAGAAAGAGTCCATTTCGAACAAGACCTTGTTGGCCTTGCTCTTCTCGAGGTACTCCTCAATGATGCCGGCATTGGCAGAGGAGGTGGAGGCGGTGGCGGCGGCAAACATGGTGGCCGCCAAGCAGGCGAGTGCGGCTCTTCTTCCTTCGCCGGCTTTTGACTCGGGAACTCTGACTTGTTGAGCCCTGATCACGGGCAACTTCTGACTTGGCACACCAGGAGTTGCAACCGAGCCAAGCTTTGAGCTGAGTTCAGATGACCCAGTTCCTGAAACGGCATACTTGCAAGCCAGCACACTGGAGTTCATGGTTGCCATTTAGCAAATTTGGGTATGAATTTTTCTGTGCAACCCCTTTTTTTTTTCTTGGAAAGTTTTGAAGAGCAATGAAGGGTTCAACTAGTGGCGCTTTCGAAGTTATTGGGTGTGTTTAGATATGGTGGAGAGTGATGTGGAGGAAAAGGATGAGGGAGGCAACAAAAGATTGTGGTGGGAGTGTGGATAAGGTGAGATTGCCTCGCTCCTATTGGCAATTGGCATATTTTTTTCCCTGCCTGGGACCTGTGGTGGAACAAACTAGGCTCGTGTGGTGAGCTTAAGTCCTGGACCCACCTCGGAATCCAGGGTTCCTGCTTCATATGTCTTGGGCCGAGTGTCGATAGGGGTTCAATTATTTCTGACAATGAGAAGAAATTCCGAGAGAACCATGTCTAAGTACCAACCTGGAATATGTTCACAATATGCCAATTGGTTTCAACCCAATACATCGACCATGCAAAACAGAAAAGCAAAACCATTGACCAAGTCTCAGCTTCTTATTTTGGTCATAATCCAATGCCACCACAGGGCTTCGCCAATGAAACTGCATCAACGATTGTGTGTGGCAGTAGAAAGAGCACACTCTGTTCAAGATGACATGCTTGCATTTGCTCAAAATTGAAGGAACAAACCAATTGACACATCGTTTATCAGCCAAAGGAAACGAAACGCAATTGATACATCGAGCTTGGATGCATTGAAATCAAAATAAATAAAGTTTCGGAGACCAAATGACCCACAAAACATAGAGAGACAGAAAGATCTTCAAGTTCGGCATTTTCTCTGAAATTCCTTCAAGTTAAGCTTATACGTGCTCCAAACAATCAAGATGCCGGACCAAAATCAAACGAATATGTGCTTACCAAATTTGAAATGTCACATGCCATCAAAATAACTTTACATATTTCACATGAAAAATACAATAATTTATCTGTACATTACTCAAAAGGGCATCTACCGACAGACATGAATACACCTGTTGGCAAACAGCCTCCACAATAGACAGGTTTAATGTCGGGATCAAAGATCGGTCAGCATGTTGTTTATCATGCTTAAAAAGAAAAGAATTTAATTCTTTAGCAGCTGAGAAGGAAAAAAAAGCATATTACAGAAACCAAGGGGAATGAAGAGAAAGGAACCAATGTTTGAATGTCCAAAATTCTGTTAAGTATAACAATGATTCACAAGGGGCTACAAGGTAAGCAGCTCAAGCTATATCCAAGGATGCACCAAAAGCTTGGGCGTTGGATCATCTCTTCGTTTTCCAAATGGCACACCTCATCCAAAGCAAAACAGGCCATGAGCATAATTTATCTGGAGGGTTACCTCCAGAAACATAGATCGCAGCCAATTTGTTCTGAAGTGAATTCAAATGAAAGAATCAGTCTGCCAACAACAAATTGAACATTTATCTCTATGCTGGAAAACCCCCTGTTGCCTTAAATGTCATCTCAGCCGTGACAATCTCTTTCTCTTACGGTTCTTTTTTAGAGCAACAGTAAGTCTCGTGGAGTCCTTGGAACTTGATGGCAAACCTAAGGTGGCTGACGGTATGCAAACAGATGTTCTGGTTTTCTTGGACAACCATTGGATTGGCAGTCTATTCACCACGGTGCCAATATCATTAGTGCTATTCAACTCGACAAGTTTCTGTATCTGATCAAGCATCTGATAGGTCCAAGCCATCGACTGATCCAATGCTAGTGAATCATCCAAAGGCATTTTCCAGATATTCAGCAATATCTCCCTGAATGACTGCATAGACATGGAAGATTGACCGCCTTGACGATTTTCACATGTCATGTTGACCTTTATGACATGCTTGCAAAGGTTTGCCTGCATCGACCATGGGCAATCACAAAAAGCAAATTCCGATCCTGGGTTCCATACGCAGTGCGTCACACTGCTGTCTTTTTGGCTTTGCACTTTGGCGTAGAGGTGATCTTTCTCGTCAAAGGTGATGGCAGAATCAGGAATTTGCAAAGCTCGGTGCCACGACGTGGAAGTGATATATTCCTCTTTAACATTTTGAAAGGAATCACTTTCATCTGCATATCTGTCAAGCCAATAACTGGAATGAAGCTCGGTAGTCAATTTATGCACGAGCCAGTCTACTCTCCAGAGTGCATTAAGGTGTGAATCATCAAACAATTTTGTTTTTAGCTTCGCATGGTAGGTTTCTATGGCACCCGATGCTTCCTGGCTTGCAAGAGGAAGGGCTTTCATTGTTGAAAGCCACATCTCTGTCCCCAAAGAATAACCAAACCATAATGAGACAGATTCCAAGCGATATATAGAAAATCATAGAGCAAAACGCCTGTAGGGAAAGGGAAGGTTTACCAATTTTGGGTACCCAAAATGCCTTGAAATACTCCATGAAATCAGTTTGATCAGCAAAATCAAGTACTAACTCTTCCAGAGCAGCCAAAGTTTCAGACCCATCCCAGATACTGTAAACAATTTGTCCCAAACGTTTGAAAACCTCACGCTGGACTTCAGGATTAGGGCACTTCTTCACCACATTCCTTAGCCATGTTCTACGAATTCGCCAAAGAGAAAAGAGGACAGGACAGCTAAATATATCCCTGAAAATAATACTACTAAATTAAGGAATCATAGGGTGTGATATACCGAGTCTCCCAACGTTTTATTTTAGCTTACGAGGAAATGTCAATAGAAAGAGATACGTGCCTTATGGGATCAATTTCTGCAGCAGCATCATCAATCAGAAAACCACTAACCTTCCACCCAGGCTCAACACTTCTAGCTCGATCAAGAAGTGCTTTCATCCACTTGGAGACATCTGGCTTCGAAAAGCTACGAGTAATTACCCAAGCGACAGGAAGTGCATGCTGTCTAGAATCAAAGACGAGTAACGTGCACAAAGGGTACTGCCATTGAAGTGAGCATTAACTTACCAGCCATAGGATAATTCTTAATCAACTAGACAATTAACTCATAGAATGGGGTTACCTTCAATCTCTTTATACCAAAGGTCGAATCTGCTGCTATGAGACTGCGGTGTCCAAAACGAATCATTTGTTGCAACTGCCATTCTGTTTGAATGCCCAGGATGAAAGCATCTGTTTCTGAAGTGTCCTGATAGAAGAATATGGATTTCTTATTTCGTTCAACCCACATCCGGATACTGGCTTGATCATCTAGATCCAACTCATGAGTGGACCTTCTAATGATCATCCCAAGTTTGTGGACGTATTGCGAAGCAAGGCTATTGACCTTTGCATCTGAACCACAATAGCGTTGAATCCCTTCAATATGCTTCTCCAGCACATTCTCTTCAGGAATTCCAAGATATATCATGGACATAGTTTGTTGCTGAATCTCACTACAGATATACGGAATGTTCTTGGCACCAGGGCCAATAGCATCTCTGTCTAGTGGCCCATGGCAGACAAAGCCAGCCTTGTTTACATGACGCCGATCATTATATATAAGAAGTGCAAGTGATGGACGGGCATAAAGGCGCTTCACTACAAAATGGCAAGTGCAGCCTCGCATTGACTGAGGTCTGGCAGCACGATTTCGTGTGTTTAATCGATATCTTCGACTGGGTAATATGCCACCGCCTTCCCCATAGTTTTCAGGACCAAATGAGCACCAATACCTGCAGAAAAAGCAAAAGCAAAAGAAAAATAAAATATATTTTCATTTAACTGCCAAGTGCACGTTTTTAATCACTTCGCGAGGTATCAGATCCTACAGCTGTTTTGGCCTAGTAATCAGCTGGATAAGAAGCAACTCTCTTTCTGAAAGTTGTAATTGCTAAGGAAATTTATACATAAGCCCTGATCGTGGTCAAAACTTTTCCAGAGTATTTAGAAGCTCACAATCTCTACTAACAAGAGAAAGAAAATGAAGAAGTATTTATTTATAATCACCTAGGGAGAAGAAAGACTCAAAAGCTATTGTACAGCACTACCTTAGCTCCAGAGCAACTTGGTCCATGCTAGACAAAGTCTAAAACTGCTTAAAACATGATAGGACAAAACATAGACTAATCATAACAATGTACAAGATGACGGGAGTTTATAAATTTTTTATCATTTAACAGTTTTAATGAAACTTATGGTGTTTTAAAAGCGAGATCCCACGTGAATTAGAAACATGAACATGACATTTTGACAAGATTTTACCTCACATAAACAAGTGACTAGACGTTCAGCAATCAGACAAAGTTAACTTCAAGAACAACAATAACATGAGAACATTTGCAACCTAAGAGTACAACACTAAGTTCAACAAACCCCACCCAAACCCCACCCCCCGGCGAGAAAAAAAAACGACGACGACGACGAAAACTCTGTCCAAGAGAAACCAATCAACATCATATCCTCGAGACATGTTTTTTAGAAGAACCAACAAATGAATAGCATTCAGCTTTCTATATATCAATGCATTGAACATCCAGAATTTCAAGGGCAAGTAAGAGAAATGAAACTGCTGTCCTAAAACAAAGTGTGTGAAAAATATCTTCGTCAGTACCAAAACCCACTTTTACTAAAATAGTTAGGTAGTACAGATATCATGAGAACATGACACGTGATAACACCTGCCTACTAAAGCATACATCGAAAAGATAGCCGTGAATCACATTTGTAGAGCTCACTTCCCAAAGATGAAAGATAAGTACATAGCCCAGAAAAGAAATTCATAAAGGATGTAATAAGTATGCCACACACTTACATCTTATACTCCAGATATTCATCATTCTTGTACTCCTTTAAGCTTCCTTTCAGTCGTTTTCTTCCCCTTTCAATGTGAAACCTCGTCGGGCATTCTACATTTGAGCACTCGCCAATTATGAAGGCATCGACTCTCGAGAAGGGAATTAGAGCAACATCATCGTGGTGCTCGGGGGTGCCAAACTTGGTCCAAATCAAATCAGCAGAGGAGAAATCCTCATCCTGCGGATCTTGAACCGGGATATCGACTATGGATCCCACAATATCCATCATCTGCATAACTTATCGACCCAATCTTACGCGGGGCCCCACATCCTGCGAAATCGCAGAGGGCAACCAAACTCAGGTACCCCAGTAGCAAGCACGGACAACGCTTCCTAATCAAGATTCCGGAAGAAACCAACGACAAATCCCAACCTTAACAAGATCACACATTTGTGCTTCAATGCTTCTCGCCAAACTGATATGAGCCAAAAAAAATGCTGACCACTTACCTTTTCTTCAAGCCACAGAAAGAGAGAAAACTACACTTAACCCAATCTTTCCGAGGAATCGAAACCCACCAAACTTCACACCCAAATAAGAGAAAGCGAGAATTCCAACAAGCAACAACGCGATACCGCCGCACCCTCCTACCGATTCGACGAACAACCCCAAAAACCCAAGCACAAGAGCAACCCGGCGTACGGACGCGCTTACCTCGGGGCGGATCGTTCGTCGCGGCCGGGCGGGACGGCGCCGGCGAGCGTCGTGGAGCGGCGGCGGCGGAACCCCGATATCTGCCCGTCGCCGAGAACTCGCCAGGCGGAGCGCGAGCTCCTCGAAGGGGGTGTTGTAAGAAGAAGCAGACAGACAGAGAGAGAGAGAGAGAGAGAGAGAGAGAGAGGAGGGAGAGTAACGAGAATGAAAGAGATTGAATTGCTGCAGGGTTTTTCACGGGTTTTCGAACCCCCCCTCCCCTTTTTTCCGGTGTGAATGAATGAAAAAAAAATTTGACCATCCGCAAAAATATTTATACATAAATTTATTATAGATAGTGAAAATAATTTTCATTAATTAATTATTTTAAGCGATCATTATTGAAAAAGTATTTTTACACTCATTCATTTCCCACGAAACAAAAAAAACTGAAGGGTCTGCTTGTTTCGCGAAAAAATGAACGATTTAGAATAGTTATATCGCTCGGTATAATTAACTAACAAAAAATATTTTCATTATCGATGATAATTTATGCCTTAACATTTTCGTCGTGGAGGATGGAAATATTTTTCATTTACGCATTCTTGTAATCGATACAAGCGATCATTTTTAAGAAATTTTTTTCCAAAACATGAGTTTTTCATGAAACAAATAGATCCTTCTCCACTTGAAAACTTTTTGAATTAGCAGAAAATTTAGGGCTTCATTGCGAAAGAATCAAGATTTTATCGAATTAAATAAAGATTTACGAGGCGATCGCGTAATGATTTATTGTAGATGAGAATTAGGACTTCTCTTATTCCGTTTACGCGGTACCATTCTTTTCTTTTATGATGCTTGAATGATCTATTTATCTGGACTTAAATGAAGAACTCTGCTTCTGATCGTCCTTAGGATTCTAGTCCTCTTTCTATTCGGTCACTTGTGATGAGGAAGAAAGTCCTACAAATACAAAGAAAACCAATTTCATGTTGCTAACTCAAGTGGGAGGCCGATTCGATACCGCGCTAAAATGTCCGATCACGACCACGACGACATATCCATCGAACAACTCGCATACATGCGCGAGCTCAGGCTCGAGAAATTATCTACAAACTGCATCAGTGTAAAAACTGCTAAAAAGTGGGCAATGGTCTGGTTCCCAGAGAGAACTTAGCACAAAAGTCGGGTTGAGCACATGAAATTTCTACAAGGACATCATATCAGGTGGTGACTAATCCCAACCAGTCAAACCCCATTTATCTGCAAGATTGTACATCACCAGTTGGTTCCACACAGAGCCGAAGAGACCCTCTCCTCCGATTGCGAATGTAAAAGCCCATGCGCACAGAACTGCACTAAACACCGAGAACCCAATGGCTGATCTGATAACATCTGCGAAAGAGAAGATTCCCAGTGAATTTGTGGCATGTTGACGCATATGGAAAGAACTGAAAGGACAAAAGCAGAGACACGAAAAATGAAGAAACGACGATTTCGATAAGCTTTGGAATGCAGAATAGGTGCACACGTCACTACTTCCCACAGTCTCATTGAAAAAATGCACACGTATCCAACGGAACTGCAAAGATGAGGACTTGAAATCTCAATCTCCGACCATGTTCCAGCAAGCATACGATTCCATGAAAAGATGGTCTATGCTAGCATCTCAGGGAGCAAGCTAAGTAATTAACTCAACAAAAACTAACATTTGATGCAAAGATAAGAGGAGGCAACCTCAAATGCAGCCTCAACACAACATAATGAACAACTGACGCTGAGGATACTATCCTTTAACAAAGCTCAAGGACAGTCTAGACGGATGATGGCAGCACAATGGCAGGAACTATCATTCACTAGCCATATGTACATAACACACATCCACATCCATCATCAACAGACATCATCCTCTGGAAATTTCCGCCTTTAATGATTTGTTATGGTGTAATAGGAAGATAGCTCTAATGTATTAGCCAATTGGTTCACAGGTTCCAACTCATGGATGAAGTAAAAACATTTACCTCAGCCTCAGGAGGAGTCCTGATATGGTTCAACTAGCACTAAATCTGGATCATTTGAGTAGGAAAAGTCAAAACACCTTCGCCATTATTTTCTAGTGCTGCATACAGAGTAACATAATCAAGGAGCAGCTCTTGCTAAGCCAGCTTTGCCAGAGAGATCTACAACGGATCACTCTCAAGCAATTTGATCTTTTATTTGCCAGAGAGATTTTTTTCAAGATATCAAAAGGAATGTCCAAATAATTATAATCATTCTGTCATGGATGCTTAAACTTGATGATTGCTATCTGATCCTATTTCCAAGAAAACTAAATATCTATCAACACAGCAAAGAAGACTGCTATGGTCTTACCAAGGCCCATCTCCAAGGTCAGTTGTCAGAATCTGAGACTTATATGTGCATCATTTTTGGACATTAGGGAAGGGAATTTCCAGGTACATAGCCAACATGCTGAGCCTGACGAGAGTGACTACATAAATAACAAGACATCTAAGCCTGCATTATTTTTTAGCCAATGTTAACAACCAGAAGCCAACACTATGTGGACTTGATAAAGCTCTTCTATTTCTCTCCCGTCAAAACAACCTGCTGTCAGATTGTTGTTCATATTTACTTATGCTCTTTTAGAGTGTCTGACAAACCAAGGATTTTACACTTTTCTACTCATTTCCAAGAAAAGATAAGTTTGAAGAACATATTCAGCAATTTGCTCATCCAAGGGACAGTGAAATGACGAGTGACTAACAAATTCTACACTTGGAATAAGCACGTATTTGGTAAGATCTTCAGCCTCTTCCACAAATTATTTATGTAATAATGCTTGCTCCATCAAAGCCACAGACTATACGAACCATCTACACATAGCATGATTTCTTCCCTCCTCTTCCATGTACAACTAAGAGCCAGCAAAAAGATATTGCTGAAAATATCCCACTGCTGAGCACCACCCCATCATATCAGCACTATCTGTTCCAAATCTGCCTTGTATAAAGTCAACTGTCTCATGGCCCTTGTTATAAGGCCTTGTTTGAATACGGTAGAGAACACTTTGAACATGTCTAACAGCCTATTTTAATTTCTAAATTTGAAAACTACTTTTGTACAGAAGCCTGCTTCGGGAAGCACAAAACAAATTATTTCATCAATATCTCTCAAACATACTTTTGTTAAAAAAAAGGCAGAAACTGGTGTCCCTTTAACTCTTGGAAACACTCTCAAACAATTGTTAAGAAGATTGACAACCAAAGCATTAAAATCCTCAAGACCTAAAGTACGGCACATACCCTTAGCAATCTACCACAAAAGTTGGAGATCCCAGTTACTTATTTGTCTCTAGCAATTTAGAGATCCCAAAATCAGGTCCCTAACTGTGTTGTGCTTTCTAATTCCAGGTACCCCATTTAGAAAAGTAAATTCCTTAAATCCCTCACCAACTACAATAGTAAACGTGGTTCCGCAGGACAAAACGGCACGAGGCCATCATTGGGAAGTTACTAAACAATCCTCGTGTTCGCTAACTATGAAAGCACAACCAATTAAATAGTTTCACTTCTCTATGCGTGCTTCATGATGCTTCATGATGAATAGATTGAAGAACAATGTCATGAATCCACATAGATACTCTGCAAGCTTAAAAATCAGGCACACGACATTTTCTGCTATTGCTTGCAACAACCATTTCGACAAGTTACCATATTTCTACAATAAGGGTATAATTTTGCCGATGATTCATCACGGGTCACTTGATAGTCCACAACCCCAGAAACAGTCAACTGATCAAGGGCCAAGCAATTTCTTGACACACTTCAAACTAACAACTTGTTCTTGAAAATAGATTGCAAAAAGAAGAAAGGTTTCAAATCGGCAAATTGGCGACACCGAACAGCAAATAGAAAGAGATATCAACCCGCCCATCAAATAACTTCCCTTGAAACCTATCAATATCTGAACTTCTTTTTCCACCCATCCTGAGCACAAGAATCAAAATCTAAAGCGGCATCGATCGATCCCGGAACCAAAATCAACCGGACGAAGCCCGCATTCGTGCTCCGATTCCTCCAAGACTATGATCATGATCATCGCGAAGAATTCCACCCCCCCCCCCCCCCCCCCCCCACGATCAGAAATGGGCACGCGAACGCACACGCGCAGATCGCAGCATCAACGAGACGATGGGGGATGAGCCCTTACACCGGCGAATCTGAGGGAAGGAGCGCTTGTGGGAGAGGACGGGCCAGAAGTAGAAGCAGTTGACGGCCCAGAGCCACGGCAGGAGGGCGAACCCGAACCGGTAGAACCGGCGGGCGTAGCCGACGGAATCCTCCTCCGACAGGCCCAGCGGGCCGTCGATCGTCGGCCAGACGGGCGACGACGACGCGATGGAGTTGGAATTCGGGTTCGGGTTCGGGTTCGGGTCGCGATCGGGGCTGGGGCTGTCGGCCGGCGAGCGCGACGCCTCCATCTCCGCAAGCTCCGGCGAGTCTTGGCGTCTTGCTCGTGCCGCCTTTCGCTTCGAGTCCGTTTCAGCGCAAATTGGCGATGACTTCCGAAAATTTTCATTATAAAGAGAGAATATTTTTTGCAAAAATTATTTTTTAAAAAAAATAATTAATTTTCATTTATTTTTTTGCAAAATAATTATTTATTTTTTTTGCAAATTGGCGATGACTTCCGAGAATTTTCATTATAATATCATGTGCAACACGTGTCTTTTATCTTAATAATCTTAATTAATAAATAGACAAGCAGAAGCTTAATCTTAACATTTCTTAAACGTGAAATTCACACGAGTATAGTCAAAATACATATGCTTCTATATTATCATTACTTATTAGGTTTACATCTCCATTCAAACTTCATATAATCACAAAAAACAAAACTCTGGGTAGGTCGAGATTGCCTATCTCCATACTAAATTATACTCTAAAAGTCTGCCTGTACAAAAGTCTGATGACTTCATGGATCAATAACTTCGCCCTCCATTGCGAGACCATCATCATCAATGTCGAAGCCTCTCGACGGGCCAACTAACTCGCCGTCAAGGTTACAGTACCATACGACGAATCGATAGGGAACCACTCCATGAAACCCACGTTGATCCACATAGTAGAACTACATTTAGTATATAGTATTTCTGACTCATGTACAAACACTGTTTCATAAAACACCTTCGTAATACATGGGAACTCCAAAATGTAAATACTGTAGAACATCCATCCTACACGTATGGAAAATAAAGGAATAAGCCGAGACCCAGTAAATGAATTCTCCAGTTTTAAGTTAGAAAAATCATCTTACAACTTCACCTGGTACAAACAACGTACATGCATAACAACTAGTATGCAGAGAACTTGGATAATTGTTATTCTTTTTCCATTTGGATATGCCACAATAATATGATCATTTTATTATTCCACAATATTTTCATTCAGACGCAAGTATATGATCTATAGCATTCATACTCATGCGTATGGTTCATTACTTCTCCTCTCGAACACTGCCAGGATATCCCGACCAACGAAGCATCTCAACTTCGAGGCATCCCGGTACACTATCCGAGGCATCCCAATCTATGGGGCATCTCGATTCCCGAGACATCTCGATACACCCTCCAAGGCGTCCCAACTTATGGGGCGTCCCGACACACAGGGCATCGTCACCGTTGATTTGTAGGTAACGGAAATTATATTATTCTCATGCATGCCATGATAAATAAGTATTTACATGCATATACTCACCTTCTTTTTACATCATATATCCCTTAAAAGCAATGAAATGCATTATTCAAATAAATAAGTATTAAGCAATAAAGGCAAAAATCTACTCAAGTTCAGAAAGTAATTCTACTACAAATTTAGAAAGTAAATATACTCAAGTTTAGGAAGTAAATATATTTTGGTTTAAAAGTAAAATATGTTCGGGTTCATAAATAAATATGTCCAGATCTGAGAGTAAAATCTGTTTGGGTTTAAAAATAGATATATACAGATTTTGAGAGTAAAATATACTCAGTTCAGAAATTAATATATCCAGATTTAGAGAACAAAATCTACTCGGTTCAGAAAATACATATATCTAGATTTTGAGAGTAAATCTACTTGGTTCAAAAATACATATATCCATATTTAAAGAGTAAAGTCTACTCAAGTTCAGAAATACATGTATAAAGATTTTGAGGACAAAATCTACTCGGTTCAGAAAATACATTTATCCAAAGTCTACTTGAGTTCAAAAATACATAAATACAGATTTTGAGAATAAAATTTACTCAATTCAGAAAATACATATATCTAGATTTAAAAAGTAAAGTCTACTCGAGTTATATATATATATATATATAGATTTTGAAATATACTCAGTTAAGAAATCAATAGATTTTACAAATGACGGTTAAATCTGAACTTACAAATATGACTTTTCCGAGTTTGGATTCATCATTTCCACTCACCAAATGTACTCCACTTTAAGTAAAACGATTAACTACCATTTAAACATTGCATAAGACTAGCAAAACAAATCCAACAACCACCAAATCCACTATTATGGCACATCAAAATAGCATATTACAATAGTGTCAAGTAGTTTGATCTAACTTAATTCTAGAGTTTTCATTTACCTCGCACAAAATATGAACACCCAAAGTTAAAATCACATTGTAGATCTTGGATCGGATATTGTTGAAAGTAGATTATCTTTGGAAGTTGAAGATGAAGAAGGGTGTTGGGGCGAAGATGAAAAATTCCCTTCGATGTTACCAAGATGAAAATGAAACATAAGAGTAGATTTTAGGTTGAAGAATGCATGAAGTCACAAGTGGCAAATCTTAACTTAATTTTACGGGCAAGTGTGAGAAGTCAAGACATATTAGGGATGAGCAATAGCCAAAGGTAATGATGGTTTATGGCTATGTGTCAAATTAGTGTAAGAAGCTTAGTGTAAGAGTGGCAGGTGACATGTTTGAATTTTCCAAATGGGCATGTGGCCATGCATTAATCCTCTATATGCCATGTGAGTTCTTGGTGTCTTATGAGGAGGTTTAGCGAGATTTTATATTAAAAACATAAACTTTTCTTCCTTTATTACCAATTAGCACAAAATAATTTATTAACACTAATTAACTATAGTTTAAACTAATAATATCACCCATCGCTACTAACACGACGGTCAATTAATTAACACCTTTGCACTATTAACATACACAATAACGTTTATAAGTTTTCAATATGTTGAACTCGGAATGATTATGTTCCCAAAAATTATTCTCTGCACCTCACAAATTTACGGTCTAACAATGATTTCTACGCGTCCACACAAATACTAAGCTAAATAATACATATTTTTATAATTTAAGTATCATTATCGAACACGAAAAATTTTCAATGTCACATACATGTTAATACGAAATTCCCAGATGTCACATCACGTTACTCTAAACTAAATTTTATGTCATAAAAATCCCAAACCGGTACACCTGCAATGATTTTACCAAATTTTAAGGAAAAGTTGAGGCAAAATTAGGGAAATTACAAAATTTTCGAACGAAAGGGAGGTTTTAGGGAAAAATCAACATATTTTCCGATCTCAATTCATTTTTTTTTTCAAATTTGGCTTTCCAAAATGACGTCGTTGACCCATATATGTTGAATTTACACGTCGGACTCCCGTCACATGCTGATTATCCGAATTGTTTGCCGCATATGTTCTCATGTCTAGCAATTCAACGGATACATATCAAACGGAAGCTAACAGATGATGAATTTGTTGTGAGTGTATCAATTTCGAGATCTTTTGAGACACGAAAATAAATCTGAGATAAATGCGGTACCGATATATTAGTTTGAGATTTTTGGTCATATTATGTGATAGGCAAGTTTTTTCATTGGTCGAAATGCGATAGGCAAGTTAAAGTAACATTATTTATTGCTAAGCAAATGATAGTTATCTTCACAATCGAACAAACAAAAAGCGACAGCTAAAAGGGCTATGAAAACACAACAGGCGCAAATGGCAATGAGGCCCATGAAACGCAACATGAACAGAAGCATGACATAAGCCCAAGACCCGGTGGCTTCCCTTAGCCATGGCAAATCATTCTTTAGAGTTTTCGGCCGTTGATCGATTGAGTCCTTACCGTTCAATTTTAGCCGGTAAAGTCCTTAGCGCCCAAACCGATATTTCAATCAAGTCTCGAGCTTGCCATCGGCCGGGTTTTCAATACCGGAATCCCTATCTATCTTCCACCCGGTCTTCTTTCTAGTGCCACGTGACCATGATGAAAAACGAGTTTTTGATTACACTGACGATGATTGCAAATCGCAGATCATTCTTATCAATATGATTTGATCCATGTCATTGTCAATTGCAATTATTTCATCGCTAAAAGCCGAAAAATTAAGACAAGGATGCAAATTGGCAATATACTCATGTGTTGGATTTGTAGGCACTTGTATCAAAACATTAAATGGAAAAAAAATTAGGGGTGTAAAAATTAGGGTTTATGATCACACGCTCTTTCTCTCTAAACAAGTTCCCGCGACCGGTTGAACTTGCACCTCGGATCATTTGGAAGATGACACCATGAACAATGATGCTACAACCTCCTCATTTAGGGTTTGTTTGGGTCAGTGCCACGTTAGAAACTTTAGTGACCGAAATGATCGTGTTTCAAACGGAGTGAACTATGAAATCGAACTGATATTTTCTCAATGACAAAAAAATGACAGAATTTCTTCAAAGATGCATGATTGTTATGTAGGCATTCACTCCCCTCACATAGGAATTTTTACCTTTTCTTTAGTTGTTTTTTTTTTTTAACTTTACCAAGAATCAAATTGTGACCTGTCCTCAAAACCGCTGACGACAACTTTACTAAATTTGAGATTCAAGAACATCAAAGGCTCCAAGCCTGACATTTTCCTTAAAGTTTGCTCTTTTAATCCATTTCTCATATAGTGCAAATTGCTTCGATCCAAAGCAATGTTTAAGGAAAGTAAGTGAGGCATTTATGGATCGGAAGATGGACTATCCTTTTTCATCAAGCAAAGGATCCTATGCTTTTTAAAACTTAATTTACTTTCGAAAGCAATTGGTAGATTGAAATTCAACAAATGCCACCAGAAAAATCCCACCACAAACTTCAAAATAATCTTCAAACTGAGATTAATGTGACAAGGAAAAAAACACAAGCAGGAGAGAAAAGATGATAAGTGTACAAAGGAGGTAAATTGGGGTAGCTAAGCTAACGAGGGTAAGTATCAAACCTAGCATTAATTCAGCTACAATACTATTTGTCTAAGTTTTGAGATTGATGGGTAATTATAAGTCAAAGATTAGTAAATCTTTCCTTATATGTTAAACATCAATGTAGAGATTGAATTCCTAGCATTATTTCACGCAAGCATTAGTCATCTTTAGAGGTTTGTCGAAGAATTTCAATACTAGCAATTGGTTATCTTGCGCAGGTTTAAATCCAATAATTAAGTAAAACAACGTTGTTTCGAGCAATTTATCAACGTCAGATCACTGGCGTACCACGTAATACGATTGGTATTGACCAAACCGCCACATAAGTAATTTTAGGTGAGTTTTCGCCAGGAGAACTTAATTGGAATTTCACTCAAATGTTTAGGATTACATTGTAACAATTGAAAGGTTTAGAACCGAATTGGAATTCATATAATAAGTTTAGGACTGAAGTAGAGATTTTCCCAAAAATCAAGGAATGCAATGTTCATAATTAATAGGTGCATTAAAACTATAATGTTATTCTTTTCACAATAACTGACCTAGATAAATATCTTCCATGTAGGCCATCAATATAGACCAACCTTGAAAATTTATCACCAGTGACTAAGCAATGGAACTTTACAACCACAAGATGGGAAAAATTATTATATGCTACAATTTAAATAAAAAAAGGTTGTTAGAAAAGTAAGGAAAACATCCTCCACAAAAAGATATTGGATACTTTTGTACTTAAAATTCATAGGGGAAAAAAAGGAAAAGAAGAAACCCTTTTCCAGATTCACCAAGAAGACATCAAATCAAAATCACCATCGACTTTTCCAATTGATTAATTTTCAGTGACCACATGATGGGCAACTTGGAAAGGAAGACACAAAGGGCATGGAAACATTGGAAGACGGGGGCCATCTTTATGGAAACCAACAAAAGGTGTGGTCGGCTAATGGCGTTTGCTTTGTTTGGGGGGATCTGAAGGTGACCCCTATCACTTATGAGACATCTTTATCATTATAAACAAGCACAAGGATATTATTTTAAGCCCATGAGTGATTTTTTTTTTAACTTTTTGTTGTAGGCAAAAAAAGCTTATCTGGTAAAAAAATACGTATGTTTAAGCGTACCGCATTGCACATCTGATGTGTTTTGGTCTATGCCTTAGGGAACTTCGAAATAGCTCTAGTTTGGTAGAGAATTACGGGTGTATATACGCTCTAGACTGGGAACCCAATCTCCTAGTTTTTACTTGGATATAGATTAATGCTTTGTACCGTCATGAGAGCATCATATAGACACATCAGCTAAAGGGTTTAACCCGATACTCATCGCATTAATTTAAGAAACATTACTTATTCGGTCCTACATTCTCATTTTGCCAATTTAGCCCTAAATCCCTTCCGGTCAATTTTCGCCGAAAATTGCTGACATGACAGTATAGTCATCGCCAGTCGTTGTACGTGGCACATCACCACGTCAGCGGTTTCTGGTTAAAATTAGGTGGAATGACTTTATAGGAATGTTTCACAAGTGTTTAAGATTAAATTGGCAAAATTCAAAAGTTTAAGACTAAATTGACGTCTGCACTACATGTTCAGGACCGATTGGATAATTTCTCCCATTAACTTATATCACCAACTTAAATCAATATTCTAAAAATACTAGAGTTACGGCAAGTGGACCACGTTAGATTAACTTATGAGATATATACAATATTTTTCGGTATGCATAGTTGCTTTAGAGTTTAGTTTATAAAGGGTTTCTTCAAATGCACCAAGATATTCATTTCAATCCAAAACTAGTTGATGCTTCTAACAATACCAGTTGGAACGCTTATGTAAATCAGAGGCCTCACAAGGGTTACACATAAAAATCAACCATTGTATGTTTTTTGACTTTTGAAAGATTCTGTGATTACTTAGTCATAGAAGCTTTTTATGACATTTTTTGTTTCTCTCAACTTTCCATGTGGATTGGATGCGAAAATAATAATAATAATTATGATGATAATGATTAAATTTTTTTGATTGATTGATTGATGGCCCTCTTTGGTTTGGTGTCCATGGGCATCTTCACTATCCCTCTTGCTTATAGTTTAAATTCTCCTTTTTCTCGTTTTTTTTTATTTATGAAAAGATATAATCTTATTGGTCGGGAGGACTTCACCAACATCGACCGTCTCCCTTGAATATTATTATAGATCTTTCACATCCGTCACGAACTATTCGATATGAGCCTAATTACTCCACACCACTCAACTCTCAAGATCCGAGCTCGATAAGTGTCATTGGGAGTCACATCAGCACGTCAACAATTCACGATTCTCTCGCATAGAGGTACATGTACTTAAGACCACACACGCAGACCAGACATTCACCCTCGGATACCATCACTCGAGCTTAACGACACCACAAAAGATGAGATCGAGACATGATCGCTAAGTCAATCGTGCTTGTTGGCGCGACGGACCTCTCGCGGGTTTAGTTAGTGGTAAGATATGCACGCATGGGACCTCTACTTGTAAAGTAAAGGGTGGTCCAATGTTGGATTCACCTCTTCATACTTTGGAATCATCATCACCAGGCAGGACATCATGTTCGACCATTCGTGTCCTCTTGGTGCATCCCGTGATCCAAGCAAAGTGGGACATGTCTCTCTTAGAGTCTGAAATTTTTGGCTTCGGACCCACTTCACCAGCTGCTGCCGTCATTGACATGGGGCAATAATAATAACAGTGCAAAGAAAAAATTACCAAAATTGGACATAAAAAAATAGGGAATTATTGAAAATAAGGCAAGATCGATGCATGGATAATAGTAAGTGGAAAGCTCTAGACCAATATATTAAATTGAGATACGACATCTATAATAGTATTCAGTTTGTACTTATATGCTCATGTACATTGCTGGTGCTAATCAAATGGCCATGGGTGTACTTTTTGTGAAGTGAGCTAACTATTTCTCAAGTCTCGTCCAATAAATATAGGTAGGTCCTTTCGATAGGGACAAGTGAATATTAAATTCTCCACCGTCGGCACGATATAGAAATAGACAAAGCCAAGACTACGATAAATTACGCCAAAGAGAAGGAAATCCATTTATTTTTGGAGAAAAAAATTGACGATTTTTGATTAATGTGGCCACTGAGCTTACAATATGTCCAATCACGTTGTTCAGTTGATACATTCTTTTCGATCAAGTCCGTTTCATGCACATCCCCAATGAATTGGAGCTAACATACCAATCAATCTTGTCCAAAAGTTTGATATGAAAATTTCAACGAGCTAAAATTCTGAAATTATGCCTCATATACCAAAAAAGGGATACCATAAGAAAATCCAAATGTATGCCACCTAAAAATTGAGAGAATCGTATGATCTTACGCCCGGTTTCACTATTTTGGACGAGCTCAGCCATCATGCTATTCTCAAAATTTGTCGGAAATGGATATCGTTCGATTCAATCGCGAGCACCGTGTATATTTAAGAGTTTGATTGGATAAAATATGAATTAGAGTACACCCACTAAAAAAATAAGGCAAACTCGAGGATCAAATGTGTACCTTTTTCCTCTTTATTTGTAGGATTAACTAGGGGTGAGCAACTTGGACCGCCCAAACTGGGACCGGACAGGACCGGACCGACGGATTTGATCCAGTTCTTGGGACTATCGGCGGTTCCCGGTTCCAAGGGGGAACCGGACCGGATCGGACCGACTATTTAATATATATATTTGTTATTTTTTTCTTTAAAAAAATTAATAAAATGTGAACTAAATTTTAAGTGAACTTCATTATTATAAATTCATTGATAAAAATTAGTAAAATGTGAATAAAACCCTAAGTGAACTTCATTGACATAAATTCATTGACAAAAATTAGTAAAATGTGAACCAAACTTTAAGTGTTTAACAAAAAAAAAAAAAAACTAAACTCTAAGTGATCGGTTCCATTGGACCGGACCGGCGGTCCGGTCCGGTTCCCGGTCCTAGAATCAACCGGTCTGGTTCCCGGTTCCCAAAATTGGGAACCGGACCGGACCGGGAACTGATCATCCCTAGGATTAACACCGTAAGCAAATCCCAAATTGATACCCTTACGATATATATTAACCCAAAAACTAATCTTCGTCTCATAAAAAATTTCAACTCGGAATCTCACAACACATTTATCCCAACCTAATCTTCGTTTCACGAAAATCCCAAACCGATATCCCTAATCCAAAATCTACCCACTTTGTTATTTATAATTACACGACCATCATTGAGCTGAGGATACAAAACTCAGAAAGCGAAAAAGGAATTGTCCCTCTCTTTTCATGTGATGTTGCCGAGTAATGCCCAAGCATGGTGGGGGGTGGCTCCACCCCCCCTTTGAAAAGTCCATTGGAAAACAAAAGATCATTAACCTCAGATAATTCAAAAGGCAAAATAAATAAGTAAATGAATAAATAGAAGATTAAGCAAAGTGGGTGGTTGAGACGTCCCTCTAAAACCCAAGAATGCTTTTGAGGCTGCTGGTGGTGGTGGTGGTGGTGTGGTGGTGGCTGATGAAAACCCAATTGCATGGGACTCTCCTGTAGTCCTGCGTGCCCTCCGAAGCAAGTACTGATCCTCCCCTTGAAGGCTCCATAGCAGGAACAGCGAAAGGAAAGACCGAAAGGCTCCGCCCCGACTGCTGCACTCACCAGTGGAGAAGAACAAGAACCACCATGCACTTCTCTTCGCCGGTGGCGGGAGGAGAGAGCTCGATCACTGTCGGGTGATCGGTGACGGCGGCGGGGGTTCAAAGGGTCGTCGGGGGATCGAGCGGGGGTCGGGGAGACGACCGGGGCTTGACTCCTCGCAGCCTCTCTCTCTCTCTCAGTCTCAACCAGGTATGATGAGTTCGCTTCCGATTACGATATGTTGATTGCTTGTTTGATTATAATTTCTGTCTGTGTATTGTATGAGAGAGAGAGAGAGAGAGAGAGGGGGGGAGCACTGCGATGGTTCAGTCGCGATCGAGTCTGGACCACGGTGGTGGATTCGAAGGTTGAAGAACGGTTTGGGGGATGAGCTCGGCGGCGCGTGGTGCTCACCCTCGGCGGCGGCGGCGGCGGCAGCGGCGCCTTGGAGAGACGCCGCCTTGTTCTTATTGGTTACACTATGTTCGGAAAATTAGGGTAGCAGCGTTTTGCGATAATTTCCTTTTATTTACTCGTTATGGAAAGAAATCGGTTAGTTAAAAAACGAAACCGTACACGGTTTTCTTTTCGAAACTGTACTTGAATCTTGTCCTTCTTTTGGCTATTAACGGTAAAAATGAAAGCGTTGGTTACTGAATTTTTCCTATAAGATTTTATTATTTTATATAAACTTAATAATTTGATAAGGGAGCCTATGTATTATATATATTTGTGTATGTATGATTGTATAGGTCTTAGTAATTTCATGTTGAATAGGAGTCAAATTTGTAAGAGCTGCAAAATTCGAAAAAAAAAGGTAATGTTGAAATACAAGTTACACAAGATATGAAGTACTTTTTCACCTATTTTTAGCATAATGCTGTGTTTGGGAAATTCAGAAAAATATGGAGAATGAAAATTTGGGTAGAAAGTGAAGAGAAATTTGAAAATTTATTGAACTGTGGTAGGAGGAGATAATTATTAAAATTACAAGCATTTTCTCTGTATTTTCCCCTCCCCGGTAGAGTTGAGCTGCACATGAAAGGCGATCTACGCCATAGCCATGTCGCAGAATGCCCGAAAAACGGCATTCCGTTTCATCGCATTTAATGGCGAACCACAATCGCATGCATCTTACGAACAATTTGTTCCGGATGATTTATGAAATTTAGTATTTTATTACTATAATAAAAGAATTGGGGGGAAAGAGAGAGAACTGGGAGTCATGTTATGACACTTGGCAGAATAAGATGGAGTAAGGTGGAAGGTTAGAATTGGTGGGTTTAAGATAAGAGTGGCAAGGACAAGCTCCCCAGATGGAGCAGCAGACATCATCTTGTACTTGAAGCTTTGTCAGTAATGAGCCTTTTCTGGGTTTGACGTGTAAATCTGTTATATGCTGGTTCTTGGGGAAAGAGCACTTACTGAAATATAGTTTTCATTTCTGACCAAAAAAAATATAGTTTTCATGCAACTTTTAGCCCGAATTTGCCTCGCATCTTCAACCTGTTGAAGCTCTGTCTCTCTCTCTCTCCCTCTCAGAGAAATGCTTGTTTGACCCTTTTTTCCCTACCAAAAGAAATGCTGTTTCGCTTTTTGTGAAGGAGTGATAGCTAATCGAGGGTTGGAAGTCGCGTATCGTTGTGTTAGTTTTCCTTCTTTGGATGAGTCAATGTATCTGCTTTCTGGGTCTTGCTCTATACCTGATGCTACCCATTTGAACATCTTCATGAACTGGTTTGAGAGGTGAGCTCTTGCCATGGTCTTGCTTGATTTGAAAACGACCGTTTTTTGGTTTGTGTGCGGGTTGAAGGATTTGTTCATACATCTTATGGGGCATTTGGCTCATGGGAAACCGGTGATTTGGAAAACATTCCCAGATAACATGGCTTGATTGCTTGCGGGAATGAATGAACGAAGGATATTTTCATTGTCCACGAAAATAGTCAGGCAACGATGATTGCTTGTGATGAAAACATTTTTCGTTGACTAATTTTTCTAAGCGATACAGATAATTATTTTTTTACGAGAATGTTGTCCAGATTAGTTGTGTTTTCGGTACATAGTTTAATGGTTTGTGAATCGGATAGTCCTTGGCCCTTTTTCTGTGAGAAGGATTATGAAATCTTGATGTCCCTGACACCGAAACTGCTTGAGGGCATGCTCTGCTATGTGCCTACACAACTACAATATGATGTGTTTTCTTGTGTTAACTGAGAAAATACACTGCAGGAAAGCAGCCAACCCGGGGTAAGCAGTATTGAGATTCATGGGTTGGTTGAACAAGATCCTCGGAGGTTCTAGCCATCGGAAGCATAATCACGGGAAATACGGAGGTTATAAAAGCTGGGACGAGACGCATAATTCTGAGGTAACAAGAACTCCTTTTCTGTCTATCTGTCTGTCTGTCTGTCTGTCTGTCTGTCATATATGCTTGGTACTTATCGGCTGAGCGTACATGGATTCTGACCTGATTACATCCGACATTGGTACAGAAGAAGACTGAACATCGTAAATCTAACTTCTTGATTCTGAATGCAGGATGAATTGGCAGATCACGAAAGAGAAGAGATTGACTACGCAATCGCACTTTCTCTCGCAGAGGAAGATCTAAAGGGGAAAAAGGTGATTGGTAAGTTGCTGATTTGTAAGACCTAAGCATTCCCATGATATCTTGATTGAAATTATATTAATCTTCCGAGTTCTTTCGACAGATTTACTTGGACTAAGAGTTCAAGCAAAATTAGATTCTTCTCAACAGATTTGCTCTTTGGCATTAGACTATTCAGCAAATAAACATGGATTGATGGATGCTAAAGAATATTGCTATGAGATCATGTACTTGACAGCGTGTTGGCCCTGTTAATGAACAATTCGAAGAGGATGGATAATGATGCCTTTGGATGAAGAATGTTTTGCTGTTTCCCAATTGATGGTGTCACTTTAATTTGGAGATTGTAGTCATTATCTATTTTGCTTAGTGCCATGTTTCATTTTTCTTCAGAAGCTGATGAAGATGATCACTCGGAGGAAGAAGAGCAACCTACTAATGTGGAATCAGAAGACGATGAACAAGTCGGCCAAAAAGAAGATGAACACATTGAAGCTCCGAAAGAGGAAGCAAAGCATGTCCAATCTCAGTTGGAGGATGACGAACAACTCGCCAAGGCTATCCAAGAAAGCCTGATTGTTGAATCGCCCCCTCGATATGAAAGTGGAAGCATCTTGCGCCCTTATCCGTCCTTCTTCCCTTCAGGGTATAGGTAGGTCTTTTAGTAAGACAATTGCTTTTGTCTCATGAGTAGCGACAATTCAGATGAGGAGTCATGTTCCTTCTTTATTTGGCAGGGAGGCTTTGTCAGATTCTCTGTTGATTGTTAAACCTAATTTGATTATATCTAAGTCTCTTTAGGATGCATATGTCTAAATGTTGGTTGTCTTTGCATAATCCATTGTGTCTCGAGGTCATCAGATGGACAAGTGTGTCCTTTCTTCGTATTGAATTACCTATGACTCCGGGCGTCTAAATACCAGATCTAGTTTAGTGTCAGTGACAGAATAACAAATGCCATTGCCGCTGAAAATTTTTGATAACTAGTATTATGAAACCTCAATTATTTAATCTAGTAACCGCTGTTCAGGGGCTGATTCAGGGAAATATCAATATCATGATCCAAGATACCGTACGAATAATAACCATGGATTTATATTCGTGTTGCTGAACCATTTACTTCCTGCAGGATTTATCTGATCTAAATATTGAATGTTTATTTCTTGTAGAATTTGTGCTGGTTGCAATGCTGAGATCGGGAGTGGGCGATTCTTGAGTTGCATGGGTTCAGTTTGGCATCCAGAATGCTTTCGCTGTCATGCTTGCAATCATCCGATTACTGATTATGAGGTCTGTTTCCAATCCAAGATGAAAACTCCGTTTAAGTAAAACCTAAAGGATCTCTAAATCCTCAAAATTTGCAGCAGTGTCCATTATATATCATTCTAATTTTTAAATTTTCCTCGGTGAAAGTTCTCGGTTTGGGGGAATCGCCCGTACCACAAGTCCTGCTACAAGGAACAGCATCATCCAAGGTGTGATGTTTGCAACAGCTATGTAAGTACATTTCTTTGCTGCAAGACGTACACTCAATCTAAAAATTGGCACGGTCAACATATTTGCTCCCTCTGTTCTTGTTGCCCAGTTTTGGAGGAGCTTGACATTAATCTCTGTTGTATCCACTATTTTATTGCAGTAATCACCATTTGAATGACCTCATCTCTTTGCAGATTCCAACAAATGCAGCAGGCCTTATTGAGTATAGGGCGCATCCTTTTTGGCTACAGAAGTATTGCCCCTCGCACGAGCGCGACGGAACTCCTCGATGTTGTAGTTGTGAAAGAATGGAAGTGAGTTCTCAGATGCCACAAATGGCCAAATCCATGTTTTGCCTCAACTAAATTGGAATATTTCTTGTTTCTTACTCTGTTCTTGATATAAAGCCTTCGAACTTTTCTGCAGTCAAGAGATACAAGATACTTGTCACTTGACGATGGTCGAAAGTTATGTTTGGAGTGTCTAGACTCGGCAATCATGGACACCAACGAATGCCAACCGCTTTACCTTGAGATACGAGAGTTTTATGAGGGTTTGAATATGAAAGTGGAGCAACAGATTCCGATGCTGCTGGTTGAAAGGCAGGCGCTAAACGAAGCCAGGGAGGGAGAAAAGAGTGTATGTGCTTACGTTTTTCAGTTTCTTTAGTTAAAATAAATGTCTTATTGTTTGCTCAGCAAGATTGACTTTCTTCTTCACAATGATAGGGGAACCATCACATGCCTGAGACCAGAGGACTCTGCTTGTCTGAAGAACAATGCGTCACCACAGTAAAGACTTTCTTCCTTGAACATTTCACTCCTTGAAAAACAGGGATTTTGTGAAGTATGGAAAGGCTTATGAACTTTTTCCTGATATATCAGATTATGAGGAGGCCGAGATTTGGGTCGGGCAACCGGATCATTGAGATGAGAACCGAGCCTCATAGACTAGTTCGCCAATGTGAAGTGACAGCAATTCTCATTTTATATGGTCTTCCAAGGTATGTTTTACATCTTGCTAAACTTCATTTTTGGTCATTTACAAGCGAACTGCTACTTTGCATCACTGAACTCTTCCAAAACTCAGGCTGCTGACGGGGTCAATCCTTGCTCACGAGATGATGCACGCTTGGCTCCGGCTTAAAGGTTTTCTTTTTGCCCTCTCTCATCCAGTAGTCTTGTAAGATGTACTTGATGTGCATTAAGGACACATATCTGACAGCTGAAGTTTCTGCGAAAAATTGTTGATTGTTGTCTGGCAGGTTATCCCAGTTTAAGACCAGAAGTTGAAGAAGGCATATGCCAGGTTTTGGCTCACATGTGGTTGGACTCTGAGATCTATTCTAGCTCTGGAAGTGATGTTGCATCCTCGTCTTCTTCCTCATCCTCGCCGTCATCGTCTTCATCAACATCCACTTCGTCGAAGAAGGGTCTGCGATCTGACTTTGAGAAAAAGCTTGGCGAGTTCGTCAAGTACCAAATAGAGTCGGATAGTTCGGCAGCCTACGGAGACGGGTTTAGGTTAGGCAACCAGGCTGTGCTCAAGTACGGCCTTCGAAGCACACTTGACCATATCGGGATCACAGGGAGCTTCCCTTTGTGAATAATTTACGTAGAAAAATTGAATTAACTGTTGGAAAAGTACATTGAGAAGATATAGTTTTACAGGCAAAAGAAGATAGAAAGAAGATACAATCCTGAGACTGAATAAGAGATGGAATGCTGATGAATGGCCTTCCAGACATTGGATGAATGTAAATTAGTACAGAATATCATCCAAACACACAAAAACTATCTCCTTCCTCTGTAATGGCTACACCATGTTGTATGGTGTGCACTTGACGATGTTTTTGTTTGAGTTCTGGACTTAATTTTCAGTACGCTGTGTTCGTACGTTGTTGAGAGAATTTCGGTTTTGTTATGCTTGAAGCTGTTTTGGAGAGTCTTGAAAATGTAAGCTCCGAGTTGGGTTCATCAGGAAGGGTCACTGGAAGGCCAGGTTTTAAAGAGTTTGAGAATCCTCGACCTGGAGAAATGGAAAACTCGACCTACCCATTCTAGAATTGACAAAGGAGCTATGAGTGAATTGGATTTTCACGAAGACTTGCGTAATATGTGGAAGAGCAGCACCCGATACCATAGCTGCTTGAGAATGTGACAAGATGGCGGTGACAGTCGAGCCAAGATGAGGAGCGGCTCATGGGTGAAATTGGAAGAGGAAGTAACCGTCAAAGCAGAGTATAAGTACAGAGAGCTGAGGAGAAGAGGACACGCACATCCGATGCCAAAACTCTGCTTGTATCCTCGTGCTTTTGCAGTCTCGTTTTGTTTCCTTCAGTGTCTGTAGGTTTTGTTTCCAGTACCGGTTATTTAGTTTTCCCTGATGTCTATAGTCTGGCTTGTAGTATTAGTGTTTAGATGTCTTTGTTCGCAAAGTTGGCTTTTCAGTCTTTGCATTTACATCTTCAGCACTTCAATTTTAGAGCACTTTGATTTCCTTCGGAACGCATTTTCGGGCGCTTTCATCATTGCTCTCAGGAGCTCGAGCAGATCACCCAGCAACAAGCAGCAGTATCAACATTAAATCTCCTAGCAACAAAACAGCAACAGCTTAGGACTTTATCTAGGCAATTTGACCATTAGCGACAGCATTAGTTCTCAGTTTGCTGCATAAAACTATCATCGTCAGGTGGCATCTTTCTCCCACCTTGAAGTAATGTCTCAATAGCAACTTTCGCCGAGGACTTGATCACAACAATCACTTTGTCAAGCTGTGGCAGAACTTTCTGATGAAGAACCCTACCTTTGCCTCCATATATGATAAATGGTTGGATTTCAAACAAGTTTCATCGAGACCGCTTTTAAACTACTCTCCTTCTCTGCATAGCCCAAGCAATCTCAAAACTCCAGTCCCCTGCAGGTCTATTACAATCGAGCAAATCAACTATTCTTTCCCAAATCAGTGTTGAAAAAGAGCACTCGAAGAACAAGTGATCTCTTGACTCATCTTGCTGCTTATGCAGCAAACAACGCCCATCAACTGAGCACCATTTCCCCATTCTATCTCTAGTTTGAAGCCTATCAAGCCGAGACCAGGCTATTTACCATGTTTAGGAACATTAGGCTTGAACCAGAGGAGTCTGTGCCAAGGCCCTGTGGTCTTCCACACATAAGTCAACTTCAAGGCTTCATCTTGAGTGAACACACCCCCTTTGGCACCCATGAAGCCCACTCTATCAGGAATAGTGGATTTTGGAACAACACATGTATCAGATCTAAGGATTGGCCGTCTCCATTCACTGTCGACAACGACATCAGCTACTTTAGCATCTCAACTTAAAGTAGAGTCACAGATGACCCTCTCAAGATCTTTGTCCAATAGAACTCCATGGGGACAACAATGATCAAACCACAATGAAATGGACTTGCCATCACCGACAATGTACTGCACATGGGGCTTCAACTGCCATCTCAACTTGAGTGACTTCCTCCAAGCATGACTGCTATCAGATTTATGCTCAACCTGTCATGTGCTGGCAATGCCTTTTAACTTAAGAAACACACAATTCCGACAAGATTAGCACTGTTTCAAGGCTCGAACACTTTGTATCGAGTCTGGACTAGGGTATGAATTCGAGTTTTCACATTCCCAATTGCCTGTAATCAGATTTTACATGGTCAAACTGGGTTGAATTAGCCAAAATCGAGAAAAAAATAGCAGAAATACGGTAATTCTAGGGTTAATTAGAGCAACCTGTACTGTGCAGTATCTATGAAGCATGTCCATATACTTTGGTATCTGTAAGGTAGGTCCTGTACTTTCAGAACTCTCACCCTCAAATTTTTCACCCACATCCATCAGGATCACTATTCACAATATGGTTTCAGCCTTCTTTTGACGTAAATTCATCGACAAAATCGCCACTAGTATTCTCATGAAAAGATGAAATATCATTTCGCCTTGTTTACCTTTTGTACTTGCCATCTTATCACTTAAAAAGTCTAATGCTAAAATCATCGTTTGGGAGGATTTTTTCTTTTCACATCTTTATTTTTCAGTTAATTTTTTCCTTTTTATTATTATTTAGTGTTGAGTTCCATACATATTCCATGATATTAGAACTAGTTAACCAGTAGAACACTTGAATTTCTTTATAATTTTTTAAACATAAAATAATCATATTTTAAATTTGCAAATATCACAGCAAAAGTAATAACTAATTTCTTTATCCTAAGTGGCCGTTAACGGTTGAGAAAGAGAAGACGGACAGTTTTTCTTATCTCCACTTCTTCATACTCTCCCTGCTTCACTGGACCAAAAGCCAAGCTGCTTCAAGGACAGCTCACAGAGTCCCTGCACTTTGAATCTTCTTCCAATGGCATTCTCTGCCGTCTTCTCGCGCAACCCTTTCTCCGGCATCCCTCCACCACACCCTCAACCCATCCCCAGAAACCACCCTCTTCTCCATTTGCCATCGATCAGGGTGTCGACGGCGAAAGCGAAAGCTTCTGCTGCCACGTCTGAACCGGAGAAGGAGAAGCCCGCGGAGGTGAAGGCCGAAGACTCTTCGGGCACGAACACTCAGCCTTCGACCGTGGCTTCTAAACGGCCCAAGAAGCCGGTTTACTCCAGTGAGTTTCTCCTCCGGGTCAATCTTGCTCTTGGGTTGCTGTGAATTGAGGATGGTGGGACAGAGTTGACTGACTGATTGTGTGGTGTTTATTGTTTTGTCTCAGTGAAGAAGGGCCAGATCGTGAGGGTGGATAAGGAGAAGTACCTCAACAGTATCAATGTGAGAGCAATTCTCTCCTTCTATTTCTTCTTAATGGGTAAATGGGTTCTTGTGTTTGGTTGATGTTCATCATAGAACGTGTATCCATGAGTCCCAGTTACGTATGAATTTGTGGGTAGAGAAGATTGCTTGCCTTTAGAAAGGGGCTGTAACTTACCGGATTGTTTATTCTTCTGCATCTTTTCTTTGCCCTCTCCATTTCCTTGAAATGTTTGATAATGTGATCGTTTGGGGTAATTGACTATGCCGACATATGGATATCCCTTTTCAGTATCTATCAGTTGGGCATCCACCTTATTATAAAGGTTTGGACTACATCTATGAGAATCGTGGCGAGGTAGGTTGTTTCTTATTTTGCGGAATTCAAACAATTGAATTGGAAAGTGTCCCCATAATCTAGTGCTTTCGTCTAACTATTCACATTTCTGATTGCTGGAACAATCATAGGTATTGGACATACGGATCTTCGAGACTGGAGAATATGCACTTGTAAGTTTGTACTTGACCATGTCGGTTTTGTTAATTGGATAACTTTTGTTATTGGACTTTGAGTAGAGGTTTTCCCCCGTTTTTCCGCTAAGTTTACTTTCCCTTTAAGTTCAAAAGCATTTTGAGCTTGGGAAGAGTGATGGAGAATTCTTTTTTTTTTTTTTTTTTAATTTGGATTGATAGTATGAGCAACAAGTAATCTCAAATTTGGCAAAAGATTGGTTAAATGTCACTGTAGCTTTGAGATTAGTACTCTTCCTCACTGGTATTCATTTGGAGCCATCAGAAACTGGAAAATCTTATATTTTGACATCAACTATCTTCTGGATAAACTATAAACAGTAAACTTATATCCTCAGATTGTTTATACTGTCTGTATCTCCAAGTGATTTTGAAGCAAAACTAGGGTAGTGTCCTGCAATTCAGCTGATACACTGGCTACTTATGGTTAACATTGATATTTGATATAATGCATTTTCACAGATTGCATGGGTAGGTATTCCTACTGCACCAGCATGGCTTCCAACTGACATGTTAATCAAGGTACCCTGTCCTAGCAGCTATTCATAATTGTAGAATTCAATTAATACTACCCTGTATATTGCGCTTCAGTTGCCTTAAAGATTTTTCTATTTGACTATATTCTTAATTGAGCCTAATCTGGACTGCATTGTCCCATTTATGTTTGGCTCATCTATTCTGGCAAAAAGAAAAGGAAAACAAAAACAAAGAAAAGTTGGCTCGTGCTGCTAAGACTAGCTTAATCTTGCTTCAGGAGACTATGTAGCACGGACACGTTCAGGAGGTCGACGTGTCGGTGTCCGACACGCTCCGACATGTTCCGACACGCCTAGCTTAATCTTGCTTCAGGAGATTGAATGAATTTATTACTCTAACTAGAAATTTTGATCTCGTGGCAAGTACACAAGGTGCTTATAGTAACAACTCAGCTGATTGTGGCTGATTACATCTCCCACGTACCTCAATAATGTCCATTGCTGCTCAAGACTAAACACTGACCCATTTTTAGAAAACTTTGAGATTTGATCTTCAACTACTAGATTGGCACTGAAAGCTTGAAGTTCTTATTTCGTCTATATTTTGCTCAACCATTCCAGTCACCTAACTCAGGTTCATATTTCTTGCAGTCGGCAAAACTCGACTATGAGAGATTGTGACATTCCAGGTGCACGATTGCAGATCTCTATACTTGTAAACATTGATCATGTCTTAATTGAAACCATGCCATATTAAGAGAATTATGTCGGTTCTTTCCTTCCTAATAGTTTGTGTATTGCAACCATGGCAAGATCAGTTTTGACAATATCCAAATGCCAATTCAAATTCAACTCCTTCGATTGTGTCACTGATCTCCCCATGGCGGATGAAAACCGTCACACAAAATTTTTCATAGGAAATAGTGAGATGTGGAAGTTCATGAGGGTGAAACATTTTGATGTAAGACATCCTATTGAAATCCTTCTTTTGGTTTTCTATTTCTTTTGGGGCGAAGGATTTATGAGCGAAAGCGAAATGCTTAACAGAGGAAGAGATTTCTACATTTCTTGGATATATCAGTGGCCTATTTGTCTCCTGATAGTAACATACGAAGACTGAAAAGAGTTACAAACACGCACAACTCCTGATAAGTTTCGAGTGTAGTGCCCGCGCTAGCCCGTTAGTGTATGAGTCGCCTTCACGAAAAATCGGACGGACAAATTGACACCCTTTCTCTGTTTAGCAAATTCTTAGTCTTGCACCGGTAGAGCCTTAGTCTCGCATTACTCTGTTTTCACATGGTTTCTGTATGCACCTTGAGTCTATTTCAAGAGCTACATTCATGCATCTCTGCGAGACAAGAAGTTAATAATGAGGCAATATCGTATTTAGCGACACGTGGTGTTGTTTGATCAATTAAAAGTGAGATGCATATAAGTACGTGGCTACAAATAGGATGAGATTCATAATACATAGATAATCCTGGTCGGTTGGTTACATCAAGTCCTCATTGATGCATGTTTATCCGGCACATAAATACCTTTCCCTCCGAGACGAACAATGCCTAGCAGATGTAACATCTTTTTGCTTGTAAGTATCAACCCCGAAATGGACGGCGCCATGTGACTTCTCAATTCGAGTTCGTGTGCAAAATCCTAGTTTACGCGATTGCATTGTAAAGCTTCACGTTGTCATAATGATTAGTGCCACTTCTCACCATAGAGAGATTGTTGATTTCTGGCTTTCCGCACTAAAAGTTGTAGCGATCTTGGCAGAAACACTGCAGAAGCAACAGAACGCAAATCTTGGCAGAATTAACCCTTCGATCTGAGGCATGAAATAGAAAAAGTTTTGACATCGTTTAACGACACCAAGTTCATTTGGCCGCGAAAATGAACGGAGAAAGACAGAAAATTATGATCAGCAAATAAAAGAGGCTATATCATTCAACAGTCTTTAAATTCTTATCATGATAGTGATTTCTCCTTTTCATGTCTTAGTTAAATATATGTAACATCTATTAGATGATCTAATTATATAGGTTTGTTTTTCTTGTACATAAATTCACTTTACACTAATAAAAAATCTTATATCTCCAGTGTCACTAAAGTTGCATTTATCATGGACTACTCAGGAGTCTCAAATATATATTTTGAAGTTGTGTTACAAAAAGTATGTAAAAGTCTTTTCCTTTTACAATTCAATACCCCATTTTATTTTAACGAGCGGCCTATGATCACAGGTGAGAAAATGCTGTCGACAATGTCGACACCACCGGCCAAATTCATGATATTACACCAATTCTAAACCCCATTAAAACCTAACTTGTTTGTGAGAGAATAATTAATCACAAAAGCGCACAGCGGAAACACATTTAGTAGATGCAATTGAGTTTGACAAGAGAGAAGAGAACAGTGCAGGAAAAAGTACCCAAGAACTGCAGGGTAATGGTCATAGTTGATGATTGGGGAAAGAAATGCTCAATACGATGTACCATCAGGCATAACTTACAACAACAAAAACTCCTAAGTATGCAAAATCTTTAGGTGATTTCACCTCTGAGTATTGTCAACTAAAAAAAGTATGAGGATCACAGCTGCTACATAACAACATAAACTGAGACACCTCCTCCAACACTGCTACAACTCTGTAACGATTTTCAGCATGCTCCATTCTTCCTCCTTGCTATCATTCCCATGGCCAGGTCTGAAGAATGTAGATACACCAGTCAGTTTAGAAATGCAATCGAATGCTATATAAGAAAATCATGGCAAAATACGAGACAGCCCCAGATATGGAATAAATTATGAGAAACGTTATCTAAGATAACATTGTGCATAATCACGAATTGGATCAGATAGGTGGAAAGGCAAATCGAACCCTACTGCAGCGGGTACTTATATGACTGCCAATGCTAAACAAGAATCACAATGACTGATACCTAGAACGAGGTGCTGGTGCTCGGGTTGTATCTAATAAATCTTGCAATTGGACAGCAATTTTAAGCTTTGTCTGCAAAAAGAACCGGCAGATCGATGAATGAGCAACTAAAAGGGAGAGCATTAACAGTCCAGTTAAAAACAAATTATTGTATACAGAGGGGGAGAAATAAATTCAAGCGCTCAAAAGTTAAAGACTCCGAGAAGGCAATGATCGGATATACCAGTTGTCTCGAGGCACCATGCTCGTGCATTCTGGAACATACGCAACCATGGGCTGGGTCCTTTCTTCTCCACATCCCAATGCTTTGGGTACCAGGGGAATTGCCACATCAAAAAGCAACGCTCGGGATGAGGCATCATCGCTAGATGTCTTCCATCAGGAGAACATATTGCAGCCACTCCTAAAGGAGAGCCATTCACATTGAAAGGATAGGCTTCAGTTGGATTTCCATCATCATCACAGTATTTCAGCGGCACCAGATGTGAATGTAGCACACGATCAAGGACTCCATCATCTGGGAAATACGCCCTTCCCTCACCATGAGCAGCCCATACTCCCAGTGTACTACCCTCCATTCCTTTGAACATCATTGCAGGTGAATCCTTAATTGTTACACTAGCAAAGCGACACTCAAAACGGCCAGATTCATTATGGACGAACCGTGGCTGTGATGGGTCCCCACCGGTTCCAAGAACCCCCCCAACCTGGGGACCCGGAACCCATCCCAGCAGAGCCATGAGCTGACATCCATTGCAGACACCGAGACTGAACGTATCAGGCCGCCTGTAGAACTCCTGAAACTGAGCGAGAAGAGGTTTGTTGAATCGTATAGAAGCTGACCAACCTTTGGCTGAATCGAGCACATCAGCATAGCTGAACCCTCCAACGAAGACTATTCCACGAAATTCATTCAGTGAGATGGAACCATTAAGAAGGTCCGACATTGCAACATCCCATGGTTCAAACCCAGCAGCATAAAATGCAGCAGACATTTCTCGGTCTCCATTGCTGCCTTCTTCTCGAATAACAGCTACTTTGGGCTTCAAAGAGGCAGTTATGTACTTTTGATCAGTAAACGAGGGAATGAAGGACAAATTCCAAGAAGGTTCATGCCTGGACTTCAATCCTTCCTTCTCTTGATCTACGCAAGAAGCCAATCTTTGCAGTTTCTCCAGATTAAAGCTGGTTTCTTCCCACAAGTCTCGAAGGAGAGCTGTGTCCTCATTCAGGTGAGTTACCCCATCAACCTTCAAATCTATCACAGGACTGGAAGTAACTTGGCCAATGATCTGAGAAGAAACACCCACCTCAGAGAGCTTTTCCAATACAATATCCAAGTTCTTCTTGCTGACCTCCAGGATAAGTCCAAGCTCTTCTGCAAATAGCGTTTGGAATAGGCTATTTCCAAGAGAATCCAGACTTAGGCTAAAGCCACAGTTACCTGCAAATGCCATCTCGAGAACCGAAACCAAGAGCCCTCCATCGCTAATATCATGACCGGCCGATATCATTTCATCGTCAATGAGATTCTGAACACCGTCAAATACCCTCTTAAGGTAAGAAACGTCCTCGAGATCAGGACACTCATCCCCAATTTGGTCAAAAACCTGCGCCAGAGCAGATCCACCTAACCTTCGCTTCCCCTTTGCCAAATCAATGTGAAGTAGGAAACCATCATCGCCCAGTTTGAGATCTGGGGTCACTGTTTTAGTGATATCAGGGCATGTGACATAGACACTGATTACTAGATTTCCAGGGGCCTTGACCACCTCCCCTGCGGCATGGGCTGCCATGGACAAACTGTCCTTTCCGCCATCAATAGCAATCCCAAGCTCTATCATTGCTTCAGAAAGAGCTGTCGCAGCATCGTACATGGCTGCTCCTTCCCCGTCAAGCTTGGCAGCATACATCCAGTTGCCACTAGCCTTGACATCAGAAAGAGAAGTAACTTTGGCCCAAACTAGGTTTGTGAGTGCTTCTCCAACAGCCAACCGAGCCATCGCTTTTGGGTCCAAAAGACCTTTGATCGGCTGCTCTCCTATGGCACATGCACCTCCTGTCAGGTTGTCATAAGTCTGAGCAATAACTGCAACATCTGCTAGTGTGATCTGCAAGGGGCCCACAGTCTGTTGTTGTGCTACCAGACCTGTGACACAACGATCCACCTTCGTTGTCAAGAACCGTTTCGAACAAACAGATGGAAGTCTCAGTACCCTCTTCAGAGAATCCATCACTGTGATTCCAGGAGCAATATCAAGCGGCTCTAGCGGATGGGCCACACGCTGGAACTCAAAGCATTTCTGGGGCATGTCACCAAGCACTTTCTCAAGCTCTAGATCCACGGCAGGAGGAGGGGGTGGGAGTCCACTTGCTTTGGATTTTTTAGTAAGGTGACTATCAACCAAAACGACTCGTCCTTGACCATTTATACTTCCTACAACGGCCATGGAAACCCTCTCTCTTTCACATATCGACTGCAACAGTTCACGGCTTTCAGGCTCCACCAAGATTGCATCTTGCTCCTGATATTCTGCACCCCAGATCTCCAGAACAGACATGGTGTGGTCACCGACCACAACAGCTCTAATATCGATCTCAGCACCTTTTGGGTATATTATCTCCTTGACGACGTTACAGTTTCCACCCGCTCCCTGGTCATGAATGCTGATGATTGGGTTCTTCTCCCCCATTTCAATACAAGCACGAACAACACGATATAACTTCTGAGCCATCTCAGCATCTCCACGCTGAACAGCGTTAAAATCAAGCTCAGCATCATTTTGCCCGCTAACCATGCTCGATGCCGCCCCACCTCCCATTCCAATTCGATAAGCGGGCCCTCCAATCTTTACAACCAACATTCCTATGTCAGGTTCCCCTTTTGATATATGAATGTGATCAATCTGTCCAA